CGATGGCTTGGGCATACAATGTACTTAGGGTGCCACATCGAGCGGTAGGGTCCTGGTAAGGTATCCACGGTTCGAGCATTGTAGTGATTGTGTCGTTCATTGCATCTATTTGGGCTGCCGTTGCCTGTTGGAAGTCCCAACGTGGGCGGTGTGCCGCCTTTGGTTTAGCTCCGAGTTAAACTTGCAAGCGCAAAACAACGGGAAAATGGTCGGAGTCCAAATTTGCTCTTATTCTTGCGGGAGTTACGCCAACGCTGAGGTAAAAGGCAAAAGTCCAGTTGCGCAAAGTTAGCGGGATCCCAATCGGTATTGTCAGGAGGCAAAAAATGCGTACTCGGTTCTTTAAAGGTTACTTGTTTGGCTGCCGGTTGTTGGAACCATGTGTTGGCCACGATTAAATCATTTGCACGACAAAAATCTAAAAGTAGGAACCTATTATCGGTCTCTTCCCCCACAGCTGTCCACACTTTCCCAAACATGTGTGGTCCCAAAGCATGTCTGCCTTGACGTCGTGAGTTGAAGTCCCCTAACACAACAAAAGGTCCTTTGCGAGCAATTTGGGAAATAGCCTGTTGTAACGTTCATCCTCTGGTCGGGCATTCTGTGGTACATATGTATTTAGGATGTTTAATTCTCCTCCTCGTATAAGCACTGAGATGCAAGCAATTCGGCTGTTAATGAAAGGAGTGCGCAAAAGGGCATTCCGGGCCATTGTGGACAACACGAAGCCTACTCCTGCATACTCTGGTTGATTGGTATTCACAGTGCTGACAGTCAGGAAGATAAAATTGTCAACTACATACTGGGTTGTGTTCTTAGATCTCGTCTCTTGCATGCACAAGATGTGAATGTCGTGCCTGCGCGTATGATCAAGAATTTGTCTGTGCATAGTTGCTTGCAAAGGGAGCGGACGTTGAAGGTGACGATTTTGAATTTGAAACCATATGTTAAAGATGCTGCGTTCCACTGGCTTTGTTGAGGTGGCGGTGCTCTTCGTAGAGGCGCGTGTGTGAAGCTAGACGCGCGTCTGTCAAGGGCGTAAAGGTTTCAGTCTTGCGTGTAAGACCTGGGATGCGGGCGCCCAACCCAGCTCCCCCATGGTCCTCTGCCCCGCATAGCATGTTAGATTTTCACCACCGATAGATGCGTCTTTGTTCGTTGCGTTTTTGTTGTCGGTTGCATTGTCGTCGTAAACGGGCGGCTTCGGACCTGAAACTTGGTTTTTTGCTGGAGCGGTTTTGCTATCTCTGTTGCCGCTGGGGCCTTTTGGGGATGTGGTACGTTGTGTGATTAATGTGTGATGTCAAGAAATGGTCGGTAGAAATGGTCATAGGGTCAGCCCCCCGCGGTTCGCCCGGCTCGCCTACTGGGCGGCAAGATTGTTATCCCAATCAGAAATGGTCGTTAAAAGTTGGTGTGGCCGAAGCTGATGCTGCATGGGGTGGTGGTTAGCTGCGTCCTACTGGCGCCTTTGCGCCGCATGCTTGCCCTCACCTTTGCGCTGCCTTCTCAGGTCAGGAAGACCTCCGTCCATCTCATCGTCCTCATCTTTGGTGTGGGTTTGCTTCCGCTGGTGCTGCAGTGTGGCGTGCTGTGTGTCAAGGGCTGCTGCTGTCTGCTTGGCAGGTGTCTCGATGTGAATGTTGAAAAAGTCTTGTGGCTTGCATCCGTCTGCCCTTCGTGTGGTTCCGTTCTGTCCTCCGCACTGCTGCCATTCGGATGTTAGGGGTTCAGCAACATAGATGGTGATTTGGGTTTTGTCATGTTCCGCTATTTGAATGCAGGGACGCCATTGGCTCCAAAGACCCCTCCAAAGGTCCCAGCTAAGGCGCCAGCCAAGGCACCACCAATCCCAAAAGGCGACCCAGGCAGCCCCAGTATCGCCAAAGGCGACTTCGGCAGCCCCAAAGGCAAGGGCACCTGCAGGTCCGATCTCTGTGGACAGCACACCGAAGGGGAAACCAGAGAGGCCACCCCGCAGCCTGGTGAGAAAATTGCTATTGCACAGCGGAAGGGTTGGTCGGCTTCGCGCTGCTATTTGAGGATCTGGGCTCTACCCACTGCGATTTGTTCATGGCAAATCAGGGCATCCTTTCCCACAAGTTCCACAAATTCGTTTCTGGCCTCTTTTGTGAGAAATTCCGCTATGCTGAATTGGGACCATCTTTGTTTTGTGCGAAGGGTGGTGGTGCTTGCGTATTTTCCCTTCACGTTGTCATGGCGATTGACCAGCTGTTCAACAGCTTGTGTGCGGTCTGCTGGTCCGGCTGAGTCTGGCCAGCTGGAGACAATGGCCTGCTTGGATGCTTCGAGTTGCTCTTGCTTTTGCACTTGATCCTTTGTATGTGCTGACCTTGGGTCAATAGTGTTGAGCCTGCCTCCTTGTGTGTGGATTAAGGCTTGTAATGCTAGGAGGTCTTTGCGAATTTTGTCTGTTTGGCGGGGCTTGTTCTGCTTCATAGCCTGCTCTTGGTGAGCGACTCCTCAACTCTTCTGCCATTCCTCCCAGGCCTATGGGTCTTTCACAATTCAAAAATGGTCGCGGTGGGATTTACTGAATCTACCCGGTTCCCTCGTGAGCCTGATGTTCCCAATAAGTTTCAAAATGCCGTAACAAAAACATACTTGCGCACTGCTTTTAAAAAATTACAACAACTTCAGTTTTCCATGCGCAGCACGAAATATAATGTTTTGTTTATCTCCCGAAAAAGCAAAGTATATTGAAAATCACGCTGCAAGACAAAACGGCGCAATACATTTCAGGCAACGGGATCACATAGCATCGATATATTTCTCCAGAACATACTTTGGACAATCGAAAAATCAGGGCGTTTGAGAACTATGATGGCCCGCAAAACGCTAGCAACACGATTTTTTAAAATCTAAAAAAACCGAACAATTCAACAGCAGCAACAATGAACAGTAGCAACACTCCGATATTTTTAAATCCAAACACTGAAAACCCCAACGTTTCAAAACTGCAGTCCGCTAAGTTATTATTTTTTTTTGGTGGTTCGCCCCTTCAACAGCAATTAGACGGTCAATATGTCAACCCCCGCGTGGGCAAGAACAAAAAAAACTTCACCTGGAGCGCTCACTTTGCGTATGCGTGGCACCAACGAGATAAACGCAACCCGAAACCCAGCGCAGTGACTAAAGCGCCCAACGCGCAACGCACGCATAACTGAACCATACCGGTGCGAACCCAGAGGCGGCGCAGGCTGACGCGCGAAAACAGAGCGTGGAAAGTCAGGTTCGAGACGAAGAATTACTGATCGGAAGGAGTCGGAGGTCTCCTTCGTGGGCCTATCGAAGCAGCGTGGGTAAACTTTTGTGCCCGCGGTTATCACCTCATCTGTGTTGCTGGGCCTCGCACAGACTTGCGTGTAGGTAGGGGTACCTTTCATCCAGATTATTTTTTGAGAATGATGCCATCACCGTGCAACAAAATGTAACACTTGCGCTGCATTCTTCCCTGTCTGAAGCGCCAACATGGGACCTCACGCGCAAAAGTGTTCACGGCTAAAATTTATATCATGAGAACCAGCTTGCTTAAGCGCGTGCCGTCGAAGTCCCAGTACCCCTGATTGGAGGCCCCAGTCCGCATCCCAGTCGTCGGAGCCTGACCTTAAACGATGCGAATGCAAATTTTTCTTCGAGTTCAAGCGGCGTCTTTGAGTCATGTCAGCAGCTGAAGGCACGAATCCGCAGGACGGCGCGCCCCAGGCCAGCGCGACTTTTTGTTTTTACTTTTAGTCGCGATACCATGACATATATTGGCTAGACCCAACCCCATGCCCTCTCCTGAGTTCCTCCCAGCGGGTGTTGAGATGCTTCTCAGGTACCTGACAAAGTTTGGGACATGAAACATTTTATGGAAACGTGCTACTCGTTGCCAAATGTGAATCCCACCAGTGTAAAGATAAGTGTCGTGAATGGCCCGACATCCGCAAAGCTCTGTGTCAGAGATGGGTTTCATAGTTCCGAAACTTGGTGCACCTCAAAGAATAGCAAACCAAGTTTCAACGCAGTTTGGAACGCATGAAGTCAAAAAAATGGGAACGTAACCTCAATGAAAGAAACAACTGCAGACACGTGACAGCAGATCTCCACGAACACTCATTGTAGAGGGAGTAAAGGACGCATGCCAGGGCCGCACTTCTGTTCTTGCCCCATCTACAGCGAACAATCACCGGTCTGTGCTTGGACCGGTGATTGTTCACCCACTCCAATGCTGCTTTCAACCTTAGATTCAAAGAAGTCCAGGTGGATACAAACGAACAAGAAAGTATTATCTATACAGTTTTCCTGGTTGACCAAAGTTTGTGTTGACTATATAAGGTGTTATAATCATTTGCCTAATGGAAAATAAATATGTTTAGCTTGGCACCCACCCTGCGGTTAGTCCAGCTGAACCACGCCCGAGGCAAATGGCCCTGGTTAAACTCGGCTAAGGAACATCAGCCACCAACCAAGGAACGATGGAAAGTGCAGCCTTTCCACAAGCCATACAAACCCAGGTGTAAATATTCATACACACATGTATACGTGTACCCTAAATATATCTATCTACTAAACGACAGTCATGTCTCAAACATGGAAGGGTTACATTGATCAGTTAACAGACTCATGACACCAAAAAGATTTAAGAAAATAACGCTTGTCGAGGAACCGGGGCTGGCGAAGAAAATGCGACAGGGCCAGAAGGGTTAGCTGCATCAGTTGCCTGGATTGCACATTATGTCAAATGTAATTGAAAACAAAATAAAGATTGCACATGACAACAGTTTTTTAACAAAACATCAATTGGGTCCACATTAGCCGTGCTTTGAGCCTGAAAGACTATAAATTAAAACTAGTTGTCAAATTGATTATCAGCAATGTAGCAACATAAAAGTACGGTACTCATTGATCAGCTCCGTGCAGTCCAAGTCACCTCCGCTGCCAGCTCCTCCGATGTGCAGCAGCTCGGGCTTTGCCAGCTTGTTTAGCGAGGATCGAAATCACTTCGCCCGACGTAGTTCGCAAAAATCGAGGCAATCACCCGATTGAGCTGCTGACCAGCCAGAAAATATTTCTCATGTTCGTGAACGCGCTTCAAGGCATCAGTTTTCATGCTATCACCCCCCACCTACGAAAGCAGAGCCAACAATGGCTTTGCGCCACCTTGGAAATTCGCTGTCTGCGGTGACAGCGGTGCTGAAAATGAGTTGCGCGGCTTCCTGTTGATCGCAAGGACTTGGTTTTTTTCTCCTCATTTCAAGCGATTACTGTCAAGGAGCTGCATGCGCCATTGTGTCTTACGGAGACGGTTTTCGTAGCAGTGTGCAAAAAATTCGGCAGAACGCGGTAAATAAATATGAGGCAACTATTTTCCTAGAGTTCACCACCGGCAACTTTTTGACGGAAACGATTTTTCGGCGAGGCTAAAACAAATTACGCTCCTCTCCTCCATCTGTTCAAATCAATGCCGCCGTAAAACGTTACCACATCCAAATGCAATCTTTTTGATAATATTTTTTTTTGGTCGTCGGCGTTACATCAATCGCTCGGGACTTCAGCCATTTTTGAAACCAAATGTTCACAATTTTAAAACCAAATCTTCAATTCAAATGGGCAACGTGCATTTTTGAAAAAATGATGCCGCAAACGCTCCCACGAAAAATCGGAAAAAATAACGAACAACTACGACAGAATTGTCCTTCTAGTAGCATGGTATGGTTTGCCGGTCGCTTTCTTTGCTACTATGTTGACAACCACTTAACGTCGAAAAGCAGGAGAGAAAATTGTCAATGGATATCTGGGGCATTTATGATATCCAACTTCTGTTTCGCAGTACAAGCCAGTAGATATCACATGACAATAATCGTACATGGGCGCGTTTCTCAAAGTTAGCGGAAGAAAATATGCATCTTGATCTGGAGGAATTCAGCAAAACCTGCAACGCCGTTGGGCATCATGGGTTCCACAGCCACAAACCTTTCAAAAACACAACAGTTCGCGATTTTTTTCTTACTCGCGCACGCGAGTGTCTTGATTTGTCTTCTTCTGACTGACTGGCTGACTGGCTGGCCGGCTGGCTGACTCTTGCTGTATCTTTCCATGGGTCGGAAGTTACGCTTCTAAAGTTCCAGCGCGAACCCCACTCGCCTCCTTCGCTCGAGGAAGTCTGCCGGCACCCACATGGCCTCGAATGGGTGGCGCTGGGCCTGCGCCCACCCTTCGGCCGTGATGGCCATCACTGCCATGTGGGTGCCGGCAGGCAGGCCGCTAAAGTCCTCCGCCAAGACCAGGAGAGGGGAGTAGGATTACCACCTCTCTGTGCAGAGGAGGAGCTGGTCCTCTGCACAGGAGCCTTCCATGGAGGTGCCGCCCGCAGGCCCGTACTCCAAGCAGCCGAAGGCATCCTGGCCAAATCACAGTGTAGACTAAGATTCCTTTGCGTTTCCCGTTGCTGTGCAGGAATGCCGGTAGCTCGGGGACAACCAGGCGTTCCTGTGCCACCTTCACCTCTACCTCAAGATCTCCCTCTCCGGTGGCACCCCTAGCATCATGATCCAATAAACTCAACATGGTGAGTTCCACGGTCAGCGGATCGCGTGCCACGGTTGGCAAGGTAATGTTGTAAAGGTAACACGATGGGACATGGTAAATAAAAGGAAACATGATGAGACAGAATGAAACATAATGAGGCATAATGAGACACGACGAGGCGTGACGAGGCAACATGAAATAATGAAGAATGATAACGCATGAGGAAAAAATTGCCAGCACTGAGAAAACCTCCAAACACCTCCGCTCCTTTGGGTTGGGGAAGGCTTAGGGAACCTGCGGGTTCGCCAATTTGTCTGGGCCCGGCGTTCTCAAGCATGAAAGACGAAAACATGGAAAACATTTCGAATATTTTACTTCGTGCGATCACGACCGCTGCATATATCATGGCATATACGCTTAAATTCAATTCGCAATCTTATGCGGCATTTATGCTCTCGCTTTAAGCATTCTAATTGACATAGTGTCTGGCCTGTCGTCTAACATTCTATGTCCTATGTGGCAGTCTTGTTTGACATTATTTGTAGCATACCTTTTGAGATCTTACTTGCCTTCAATAATTTTTTAGCGGGGCAATTTTCACTGGCATTCCGTTCGGCGTGTTTGAAATTGTATTTGGGAGTCCTGTGTGACATGCACAAAGAAATGGTCCCCGACATCTTCTCTAGCGTTGTATCTTATTATGTTGGCATTTTATGTGGCATGTCGTGTTTGCCTAAACGCATCCTTTTAGGTATTTCATCTGCCATGTTTGGTGTTTCATCTGGCCTCCTTAAGTGAAATATGTTGTAGGAACCTATTGGGCATATATCCCGATACTCCATTTGGCATTTCTTCTGGGAGTTTATTAGCTTTCCATACACATGGATCTTGTTTTCGGCATTCTACCTGATATCAACTACCTGACATGAAATCCGCCTTGAATTACATTTTATGTAGCATTCTATC